GGACCCCAGAGTTGCGACGATGTCTCGGGCGAAACGTGTTGCGAGGAAGTCTCAGGCGAAACGGGCCGGACCACCTCGAGCGCGGCGTCTCAGAGCTCCGAGTTGCGGGGGCCTCTTGGCGCCTCCTGGGGACCTCCTGGGGCTTCCTCCTGGGGCTTCCTCCTGGGGCTCCTGTGGCCTCCTGGACCCCACCTGGGGCTTCCTGAAGCCTCTTGGGGCTCCCAGGGGGAGATATCTAACATGTGGCCGTCGGGCCCCCCCAAAATGGGGGCACAAGAGCAGGAAAAATCAACGAATGGACACCGGATTTGTATTAATTTGACACGTTCTGATAGGGGGCCTGGGAGGCTCCTGGAAATCTCCTGCGGACCCCTGGGGCCTGTCCTGGGCGTCCTGCGGCTTCCTGAAGCTCTCTGGGGCCTCCTGGGGCTCCCAGGGTCCCAGGGGGGACATGTAACATGTGGTCTTCTGGGCCCCCAGGCTGGACCACCTCTTGCGCGGCATCTGAGAGCTCAGAGTTGCGAGAATGTCTTGTGCGAAACGGGCCGGACCACCTTGCGCACGGCATCTCAGAGCTCAGAGTTGCAAGGATGTCTCAGGCGAGACGGGCCGGTGTCTCGGGCGAAACGTGCTGCGAGGAAGTCTCAGGCGAAACGGGCTGGACCACCTCGAGCACGGCGTCTCAGAGATCCGAGTTGCGGGGGCCTCCTGGTGCCTCCTGGCGCCTCCTGGGGACCTGGAGCTTCCTCCTGGGCCTCCTGTGGCCTCCTGAACTCCACCTGGGGTTTCCTGAAGCCTCTTGGGGCTTCCAGGGGGGGATATCTAACATGTGGCCGTCGGGGCCCCCCATGGGGGCACAAGAGCAGGAAAAATCAACGAATCGACACCGGATTTGTATTAACTTGACACGTTCTGATAGGGGGCCTCATGGGAGGCTCCTGGAAATCTCCTGCGGACCCCTGGGGCCTGTCCTGGGCGTCCTGCGGCTTCCTGAAGCTCTCTGGGGCCTCCTGGGGCTCCCAGGGTCCCAGGGAAGACATGTAACATGTGGTCTTCTGGGCCCCCCAGGCTGGACCACCTCTTGCGCGGCATCTGGGAGCTCAGAGTTGCGAGAATGTCTTGTGCGAAACGGGCCGGACCAACTTGCGCACGGCATCTCAGAGCTCAGAGTTGCAAGGATGTCTCAGGCGAGACGGGCCGGTGTCTCGGGCGAAACGTGCTGCGAGGAAGTCTCAGGCGAAATTGGCCGGACCACCTCAAGCACGGGGTCTCAGAGCTCCGAGTTGCGGGGGCCTCCTGGTGCCTCCTGGGGCCTCCTGGGGACCTGGGGCTTCCTCCTGGGCCTCCTGTGGCCTCCTGAACTCCACCTGGGGGTTCCTGAAGCCTCCTGGGGCTCCAAGAGCAGGAAAACATTACGAATCGACGCCGGATGTGTATTAACTTGACACGTTCTGATAGGGGGCCTCCTGGGGCCTCCTGGGAGCCTCCTGGGAATCTCCTGGGGACCCCTGGGGCCTGTCCTGGGCGTCCTGCGGCCTCCTGGAGCTCTCTTGGGCCTCCTGGGGCTCCCAGGGTCTCAGGGATGATATATAACATGTTGTCTTCTGGGCCCCCAGGCTGGACCACCTCTTGCGCGGCATCTGGGAGCTCAGAGTTGCGAGAATGTTTTGTGCGAAACAGGCCGGACCACCTAACGCACGGCATCTCAGAGCTCAGAGTTGCGAGGATGTCTCAGGCGAGACGGGCCAGACCACCTCGCGCAGGGCATCTCAGAGCTCAGAAGTTCGAGGATGTCTCAGGCGGGCTCCCAGGGTCCCAGGGGGGATATGTAACATCCGAGACTTCCCTTTGAATGCAGGGCTTGTTTGAGGCGCAAAACAAATGAAGTAGGTTTAGAGTAGCTCCTGAAGTAGGTCGGCGAAGTAGGTCTGCTGCGCGCCTGGCAACAGTGGTCGGCGCAGGTAACTCGAAGGGAAAGGACGGCGAAACCGATTGCCGCGAGAAACTTTCAGGGGACAGGAATGCGACATTCATGTGCAAAAGTAGCTTTCCAGGGAAGGTTGTCGGGAACACAATATCGAAAGTAACTTGTCGGGATCGGGTCAGTAATGATATTTTCCAAACAAGCTTCTCGGGGAAATGCTGGAATGCCGCCGGCAAGGCGCGGCTTCTGCTAGCAAACCAGCCGAGTAATTCGTGAAGTGCGCTGTATTGGGTTCTTCTGGGCTCCTTCGGGGCTTATCTTCAGGCTTCCAAAGTCTTCGGAAGCGCATGGGCCAAAAGGCCCAATTCATTCGTGTCTCGTACGATTTGGAAAGATTTCGGCTTCTCGGGGGTGTTATTGGGTGGCTCCGCGGCCGCTTGGGGCGGTATTTGGGTTTCTTGGAGCATGCGGGAAACAATGTTGATCCATCTTGGGCTATCTTGAACCATTTGTGAGACCGCGTTGCATTCTGCGAGGTCATGCCGGCTCTATCTTTGACCGTCTCGGGCGCTCCAGCGACCCGTCGCCCCCCATTGCAGACCCCGGAAGGAGGGGGGGGAGGGGTGCATCCATCCCCGAAGGGAAGACTGGGGGTTGTTGGAACAGGAAGCGCTCTAAACCACCTCCGTCCTGAGATCTGGGGGCATTGCGTTTCCCCCTTGGTCTGACCACAGCGGGAAGTGGGGCGCGGAGGGCGGAGCGAGGGCCGCGGGCCGAGCAAGGGAGAGGGGGGGGGGCGAGAGGGAGGACCAGGAAGGTTAAGAAGGTGAGAAACGGGAGGGTGGGGGGCTCCAGAAGGCGGGTCGGGGGGAGGCGGCGTTTCCGGGGGGGGAGGTGGAGGGAGGCTGGAATAATGAGGGCGCGTGAAAGAGGAGAGGAGGTGGAGAGAGGTGGGAGGAGGAAAGAGAAACGGAAGGGGAGTGGCGCCTCCGTCGGGCCGGGCCCAGAGGGGCCCCGGGGGGCGGGGGGCGGCCGCATCAGGTTTGGTTTCTGAAGAACCTAGGGCGCCAGGCGGCGGCCCCCTGCCCGCCAGCGGGGGGGCTGCCAAAAGGCCCTGTCCTGTCGCGGTACGTTCGCTTGTCGCCCGACAGCGAAATCGCGCTCGATCCTCGACCCTCGGGGGGGGGGGGAGACCGCCCCCTTTGGGGGGCTCCCGCCTGTCGGGGGCAACCTACAAGTGTTTTGGGTTTGCTCACCTTCTGCGGTCACTTCGCAGATTCCTTTTTTGGCGCGCCACCCCCGGGGGCGACTTCTGGGAAAGGCTCGGGCAAGCGTGTGCTGATGTTTCAAGGAACCGCGCCCCCAAAGTAGGTCGGAAAGTAGGTTTGCAGAATTTGTTTTTGCAAAGTAGGTTCCAAAGAAGGTTTCCGGACTCCAAAAGTAGGTTTTCGGTAGTGCAAAGTAGGTTTCGGAGGCCTCAAAGTAGGTTTTTAGGAGCCTCAAAGTAGGTTTCGGAGGCCTCAAAGTAGGTTTCAAACCTACTTCAAACCTACTTCAAACCTATTTCAAACCTACTTCAAACCTACTTCAAACCTACTTCAAACTTACTTCAACCCTATTTCAAACCTACTTCAAATTGTTTTCGGAAGCATGGAGGGTCAGTGATTGAAGGTAGGAGGAGGAGGAGGAGGTGGAGGAGAATGTGGGGGAGGAAGAGGAGGAGGAAGAGGAATGGAGGAGGAGGAGGAGGAGGTGGATGAGGAGAGCCGGGAGGAGGATGTGGAGGAGGAAGAAGAGGAGTAGGAGGAGGAGAGCCAGGTCGAGGAAACGGAGGGCCAGGAGGAAGGAGGAACAGGAGAGAGGAGTAGGAGGAGGAGGACCAAGAGGATCCGGAGGATCGGGTGGGGGATGAGGGGCGGATGAAGGGGGGATGAGGGAGAAAAGGTAGGAACAAGATGGGGAATATGAGGAGGAGGAGGAGGAGGAGGAGGAGGAGGAGGAGGAGGAGAAGGAGGAGGAGGAGGAGGAGGAGGAGGAGGAGGAGGAGGAGGAGGGGGGGACGGGGAGGGCGGGGAGGATCGGGGGCAGGAGGATGAGAACATGGATGCTGCGGCTGACGAGGGAGAGGATGGTGAGGCAAGGGGGGCGATGATGGGAAGCATGATGTGATTGATGACGAGTGGCTTTGGGGAGGGCAGAATGACCTTGGGCGGGGCGGCCGTGGTTATGAGGAGGAGCCATGGCGTGTCCGAACCCCGCCGGGACACGGCATGGGGGTTTTGCTGGGGTGGTGATTGTTGGTGGCGGCCCGGCTTGTCCAGGATTCCCTGAATTGCGTCGTTCGCCGTGCCAGTTGCTGGGGCTGCCCCAATTGATTTTTGGGTCACCCATTGTCGTGACTCCTTTTCTGGCGGGTCGTGTTTGCGGAGGTCTTCTCCGCAGCCGCTCTCGTTAACTTTCTATGTATAGTGCCCGAGTGTGCATCGCGCGAAAAGTGTCGCGGCCCCTGCCTGAAATGCAGCCCTGGCGCCCTTTGCATTGCAAACCTTCTTGGCGAGGTTACCGCGGCCAGGGGGCGTCCCCGGGCGCACTTGCCAGGGCTACTTTGGCGGATTTGCTTCGCCAACTTACCTGCCCGCGGCATTTGCGCCGACGCGCTTTGGCAAACCCAGCAACGGGAGGCTATATGCCCGATGGCACGTTTTCCCCGCGCGTTGCACCTTCTTCCTGGAACCTACTATGTTTGCGAACCTATCTCCCGAACCTACTTTTGAACCTATCTAAAACCTATATCGACATGTTTTCTGCTCGCCATTGCCCTGCATTGCTGGGGGAGTCTCGGTGTAACATGCGGTCCTGTTGTGCATTGTATTTGCTGGGGTCGGAGACCCCCCTGTGCAGGAGTCAGCTTAACATGACAGGACAGGAGCTATGTTCGTAGGTCCTCTTGGCTCGCGAGGAACCAATAACATCATCAATCCAGCTGCATGGTAGCGGAGCTCGGTTCCCACGCCACGGGAGCTGAGCTCGCGCGCCGCGCGACCTCCCCGCCCGAGAGGGCTGCTGGTCAGCAGCGATGGCGGCGATCGAGGTGGTCGACGCGCGGACCGACATGCGGTTACAGCGGTTCGACGGCACGGACGAGAAGTGGGGAGACTGGAGTCTCAGGTTCGAGGCCTACGCCGCGCTGCTCGGCTTCGAGGAGTACATGACTGCGGCGGGCCAGAGGCAGGACCCGCTGCTGAACGACCAGCTCGACGAGCGCGCGAGGCAGGTCAGCCAACGGTTGTGGCGCCTGCTGCTCACATATTGCGAGGGTAAGGCGATGGGAGTGGTCAAGCTCTCGTGCAAGAACGGTCTCGAGGCGTGGCGCCAGCTCAAGAATGAGTATGAGAGTCGTTCAGGAAATCGCTGGGCCCCGATGCTGCGGTTCATCCTGAACCCGCAGGACAAGTGGGCCAAGGATCGCGAGGCGGGCATCGACTTCTTTCAGTCGCCCACCGCCTGGGAGGCGATTGTGGCCGAGTATGTGGATCAGAGCGGCGAAGCCGTTTCTGACAATGTCAGGCCGGGTGAGCGCGCTGCTGGAACACGCGTCAGATCCGTGCCGAGAGGTGTTCCGACAGGCCCCAGAGGAGGTGAAGTTCACGTTCGCCGCAGCTCGCAGTCACATCAGGGGCTACTACAACCAGGGCAGGACTTTCACTCGCGTCCCAGACGTGGGTGGGGTTGTCCCGATGCAGGTGGATGCAGTCCGTGCCCAGCTGCCCAATGGCAAGGCCAACGGCAAGGGCAAGACGTACAAGTCCGACAAGTCAGGCGGGAAGTCTGGCAGATACCAGAAGGGCAAGGACTCAAATACCAAGTCTAAGGGTCGTGATGGCGGCAAGCGCGCCAAGAACCAGACGGAGTACTTCGACGGCGAGTGCGGCTACTGCGGCAAGTGGGGCCACAAGCGGGCGGACTGCAGGAAGAAGAAGGCCGATGACTCGAAGAAGGAGCCAGGTCACACACGAACTGTTCAAGGCGACGCAGCTTCGTCATCAGCCCAGCAGCCAGCGGATGGCACGGTGAAGGCGGCGTCGGGCTACTTTGACGGCAAGCCCGATGGCTGGGTGTTTGCGGTCACGGCACAGCCGAATGGCCGGGTGGCGAAGGTTGGCGGCTCCATCCTGATCGACAGCGGCAGCGACGACCATCTCTGCAGGCGCAGGTTTGTCCCAGAGGCTCCCATCAGCGCTGCGGTGGACGCGCCGAGGCTATTCGACGCGCAGCAGCGCCCACTGCCGACGGCAGGCCTGAGGGGAGTAGAGATGACCATGAAGGAGGGCATCGCGGCGACAGCGGACTTCCTCGTCGCCGACGTGAACGATGATCTGCTGAGCATGGGGAAGCTGCTCAGGCAGGGCTCCAGGTTCAACCTCAGCCTGGAGGACGGGCTATACATGACGAAGGGCCATCGCAGCGCGCAGCTCACGCTGGGGAGGAACAGCCTCAGGCCCCCGGTTGTCGCGGCGGGCCCCGCAGCTGAGGCTCACCGCTGCCGCGGCGCGGCAGAGCGGCAGGATGCGACGACGGCCCCTGTGCTCAACGCGGACAGCTCGGTCGGCGCGATGAGGGCCAGGCTGAGGGAGCTGCGCGTGCCCATCTACGGTGCCAAGGCAGAGCTTTGGGACAGGCCCATTGTGGCGGATGCCGCGGTCAGGCGGTCGGAGGCTGAGAGGGCGCACAAGCAGGCAGTCAAGGAGCAGCTCGGGATCCAGCACGACCCAGTCGATGCTAGGGAGCCACCCGTGCCGAAGGCTCCGAGCGCTGAAGAGGAGAGGCAGCGTCGCCTCACCCATCTGCCGACCGCGCCCTGGTGTGAGGAGTGCATCCGCGGCAAGGCGCCCGATGCTCCACACGCGCAGGTCACGCTCGAGGACTCCGAGCGGAAGGCGCCGCTCATCAGCTTCGACATTGGGTTCTGCAAGACAGCTGATGAGGACGGCGACCTGACGAAGGTCGAGGACACTTATGCGACGATGCTCGTGGCGTTCAGCTCGGACGCTGGGGTGGTGAAGGTCATCCCATGCCCATCAAAGTCGGCACCGCCGTACGCGATTGCACGCATGAAGCAGTTCGCGCAGCGGCTCGAGACGGGGAGGTGCAGACTCAGGGCCGATTCTGAGCCTGCGACGAAGGCGATCCTGGACGGGGTAGTCGCCGAGCTGACGGGCAAGGTCATTCCAGAGTTGACGCCCAAGCACAGCAGCCAGTCCAACCCAGCGGAGGCGGCTGTGAAGATCGCGGAGGGCCAGACGCGGGTCCTCAGGTTGGATCTCGAGACGCGCTACGGCGCCAAGATCACGGCGGCCGTGCCGATCTGGGCCTGGATGATGCGTCATGCTGGGTGGCTACACGAGCGGTGCTCACGGCGAGCTGGAGGGCAGGCTCCACATGAGATGGCGACGGGCACGCCCTACAAAGGCGACATCTGCACCTTCGGTGAGACGGTGCTGCGTCGAATAGCTCGACCGAAGCATCGAGGGCTCGGTGGAGGACGGCGGCTGCACCGCAGGGAGGCGCAGTGGGGCCGTGGGATCTGGGTTGGCAGATCTGACGAGTCCCAGGAGCATCTGCTGATGACTCCGCAAGGGGTCGATCGAGCTCGGACCGTGCGACGGCTCCCTGAGGGCAGACAGGCCGACAAGGACCTCCTGCTGTCGGCGACGGGCATCCCGTGGGCGACGAGGACGGCGCCCGAGAGGTCGAGGCGACCACGGGCAGCCCCGCCCGTGGCGACAGAGATCCCGAGAGCGGATCAGCAGCAGCAGCAGCAGGCACAACCGCCGGCAGGGCCACCCGAGGGCCGAGCGGACCCTGCTCAGCCCCAAGCCCCACCGCAGGCCCCAGGCCCAGCGGTGGCGGCAGGACAGCCGCAGCCGCAGCCCCCGCGGCCAGCGCAGCCAGCGCCAGGAGATGCGGTCATGGGGGCGCCCCCGCCACAGGCGGAGAGGCGCGGGCTGCCGCCTGAGGCGGAGGCCTCAGAGAGCAAACGAGCGCGGGTTGCGGCGGTCCACGAGCTGGACGTCGGCAACATAGACGACCCGCCCGACGCGTTCTGGGAGGAGATCTCGGATGAGGTCGAGGACCAGACCGAGGACATGTTCGACGTGGACGCTCAGGATGAGCTGGACAAGAGGCTCACGCTTGAGCACCTGCAGAGCCTCCTGGACCAGGGCGTCGGCGAGGACATCCCCAAGTCGGAGGCAAGGGGAATGAAGCACATCACCACCCGCTGGGAAAAAGTAGTGGAGGTGGAAGCCTGCGCGACAGGAGTGGCAGCGCAAGGTGAGATTCGTCTGCCGCGAGTACCGCCGGCAGGAGTGGCGCGACGACTTGTTCACGCCAGGATCGGCTCCGATCTCCGACAGACTCATCGACTTCGTGGCCCTCAAGCGCGGCTTCGCAGTGATGACGCTGGGCGCGACGGACGCCTTCTACCAGGCGCCCGAGCGCGAGGACGTGGTGGTGGACCCACCGCAGGAGTACCTGGACATGCTGCAGGCAGAGGGTAAGAGCACGGACACATACTGGAAGCTGAAGAGGCAGCTGCCTGGCAGGCGCACGGCGGCGCCTGGCTGGGTGGAGCACATGGTGGGCATCCTCATGGACGAGATGCGCATGGCGAGGTGCGAGATGGCCCCGCAATTCTTTAACAACTCGGAGACTGACGTGGTGGTCGAGATCCACATGGACAGCCTACACATGGCAGGACCAAGGGGCGCGCTGGAGGGCTTCCGTGACGAGCTGGGCCAGCACGTGACCTTCAGCGGCGGCGAGATCCATGAGCACGGCACCACCTACGAACACCTGACGAGGTTGAGGGCGCGGTTCGAGCACGGGACAGAGCTGAAGGCGAACCCGAAGTACCTGGACTACGTGGCGGAGACCCTCAACCTCGGGAGCGCGAACACGGCGCCCACGCCAGGAGTGCCAGCTCATAAGGCGCTCATGGGGAGCACCTCGGCCCTGTCTTCCGTTCAGGCTGGCATCTGCCGATCGTGCGTGGGTGCGCTGATGTACTGCGCCCAGGACACGGCGGACTGCCAGTGTGAGGTGGGCCTGCTAGGAAGGATGCTGTCAGGCCCCGCCGTCGGTGCCTTCACCGCACTCAAGAGGCTGGTCAGGTACCTGATGGGCAGGAGGGACGCTGTGTAATGGCTTCCGAGACCGACGGAGGGCGCGAACGTCGAGCCGGTGGGCTACGGCGACAGCGACTGGGCAGGCGACCTTCAGACGAGGAGGTCACAGTCGAGCGGCAAGATCGAGATCGACAACGTCCCCATGCACTCCTTCAGCAGGCGCCAGGCGATCGCGGCGACTAGCTCGGGAGTGGCAGAGTACTATGCGGCGACGGCAGTCGCCGAGGATCTCCTCTACTTCAAGTCGCTCCTGGAGTTCATGGGCTTCACGGTGGCGACTACTCTTCTGACGGACTCGTCGGCGGCCCGAGGGATTGTCAAACGTGAAGGAGTTGGCAAGGTCAGGAGCCTGGAGGCGCGTGTGCTGTGGCTCCAGCAGGCGATCAAGAGGAAGCTGATGGACCTCGGGGCCGTCGGCACCGACGAAAACAAGGCCGACCTGGGTACGAAGATCCTCGGGCACGAGCGCTTCGTCAAGCTCAGGACGATGAGCGGCATCTACACGGACATGGGCCAGGTCGCGGAGAGCGACCACCAGTCGGACGAGGTGGAATTCGACGTGGGGGCGGCGGCTCGGGTTCGGCGCGCCCCAGGCGTGGCCGCTTCACCGAGTGCGACCCGCCCGGCGGCCCTTGCGACGATCACGGCGGCGGTAGCGCTCCTCCAAGGGCGCGAAGGACCCGCCACCGAGCACGACGGCTACTACGACATGGAGGTTTGCTGCATGGACGGCGTGGTCGCGAGCGACTGGACGAGCTATTGGCTGGTGCTGGTCGTCTGGGCGCTGGTCGTGGCCATCGTCTTCGGCTACGCGGGGCTCCGCTACGCCAGCTGGGTGGAGCAGGAGTGGCTCCTCGTCCAGACCGAGCCCGATGACGCGAGGGACAAGAAGATCGACCCAGGCATTGGCTGCATGTTATCTACGTCGACCAAGTCGACGGTGGATCAGAGAATCGCATGAGGAGGACGGTTGGCACTCAATCGCAAACAACGTACAAGTGGAGATGGGCTACTCCACGTTTCCAGCCATTGCCGATCAGCATGCGCGGTGCCTTCCTTGAGGTGCATGCTGGGAGTGAGGCCAAGGCTAGAGGAATGTTTCTGCACTGAGGCCCAGGTTGAGGACCTTGAGCGGCTACGCTCTGATGAGCTCACGTTCCATCTGTCATGCTTTATATCATTAATTTTCCCCTGACATGCTCAGGCCCGTTGTGGTATAGCGCGCTGATGGCCATGCGTATTTTGCCTGGGGGGCGCCCCAGCCTAGTGACCTTTTCAGGAGTCGGTTGAAAGCTCGACTCTAGACACACGCCGAGCTTCCAAGGGGGCGTGTTGTGCATTGTATTTGCTGGGGTCGGAGACCCCCCTGTGCAGGAGTCAGTTTAGCATGACAGGACAGGAGCTATGTTCGTAGGTCCTCTTGGCTCGCGAGGAACCAATAACATCATCAATCCAACTACAGGTCTTCTGGGCCCCCAGGCTGGACCACCTCTTGCGCGGCATCTAGGAGCTCAGAGTTGCGAGAATGTCTTGTGCGAAACAGGCCGCCACCTTGCGCGCGGCATCTCAGAGCTCAGAGTTGCGAGGATGTCTCAGGCGAGACGGGCCGGACCACCTCGCGCAGTGCATCTCAGAGCTCAGAAGTTCGAGAATGTCTCAAGCGAAACGGGCCGGACCACCTCTCGCGCGGCATCTCCGAGGTCAGAGTTTCGAGGATGTCTCAGGCAAAACGGGCCGGACCACCTCGCGCAGGGCATCTCAGAGCTCAGAGTTTCGAGGATGTCTCAGGCGAAACGGCCTGGACCACCTCTCGCACGGCACCTCGGGGCTCAGAGTTTCGAGGATGTCTCAAGCGAAACGGCCCGGACCACCTCTCGCGCGGCGTCCCGGGGCGCAACTTTTCGAGGATGTCTCACGCGAAACGGCCAATCCCGGCCAACTCAGAAACGAGAGTTGTGAGGATGTCTCAAGCGAAACGGCCCGGACCATCAAATTTTTGTGAGGATGTCTCTGCTCCGACTTCCCTCGGCCGGAGTTAGCTTCTATCACAACAGCACCCCGTTCAGCAAGCTGTTAGGGAAAATAGATCGAGTGAGATCGATTTTGAAATCGACCGAGTGAGACCGATCGAGCGAGACCGATAGTGAGATCGATAGTGAGACTGATCGAGTGAGACGTTGGTTCCTCCCCCCCACGAACCTCCTTATCATCTGAAGGGTGGTCGTATAGGTAGCCCTATAGCTCTATAGCCCTATAGCTCAATAGCCCTATAGCCCTATAGCCCCCTAGCCCTATAGCCCTGATTCCCCAATAAAGTCTAACCGCGCTAACTGGCACCTAGCCCACCTGCATCTGGCACCTAGGATTCAACCCTCCTGAGGCTCTCATTCACTTGCTGGGGGGCATGGGATCTAATGGAATTGAACGCGCGATGGGGGCTAAGATCGCATGGATGGGCTAAGATCACATGGAATCCAATCTGCGGGGGAACGCGCCAGGAAATAATGTCGAGTCAAATATGACTTGCTCCTTTCTTCCTGTTCCTGCTCCTCTCTCTTCCTGGCCCCTCCTCCTGCTCCTCCTCCTCTCATTTAATAATTGAATATGCGCTTGCCTTGGACAAGCGCATCCCCCTGCCTATAGATGATGCCCCCCCTGGGGCCCTCTTTTTTTTTTTTGGGGGGGGGGGCAGCGAGGGCACTGGCGTGGTGTTGCTAAAGCCCGCCGATGGAAAGCACAAGAAGATGATTGACGCGTCGTCTTGTTTGCCTTTGAACTCGGTACTACTGTTTCTTGCCCCTAGCCTTTGGGTATAAAAAGCATGGTAGTCGTCTCGTCGTCAGGGGGAGGCTCCTCATCCTGCTCCTCCTCCTCCTCCTCCTCCTCCTCCTCCTCCTCCCCCCCCCTTTCCTCCCCCCTCTTACTCCCTATCTATGTCTCTTCCACCATTTCTCCCAAATTCGCTGCGGCAACCAGGCGCCGTCTGTCCGCTTATACCTTAGCTCCGGCGGCGCCCGCGGCGGCGGCGCCCCGCCGAAACTTAGCCCCCCGCCTACCTCTCGCCCTTCACGCGAGCGCACCCGCGCTCGAAGGCCACGGTGACGGCGGCCCCCCCCCAGGGCAACTGGGCTTCGTCGAAGCCTGGGGGAGGGGGGCAGCAGCAGCAGGTGAGAGGGGGGAGGAGGAGGAGCCAAGTTGGGGGGGGCGAGGAGGACGAGAAGGAGGAGGACGAGGAGGACGAGGAGGACGAGGAGATGGAGATGGAAGACAGGGGGGACAGCAGCAGGGCCCCCCCCCTCATCACTCTGCCTGGAACGAACTACGCCCCCTCATCATCTGCCTCCTCCTCTTTTTCCCCTCCTCCTCTTCCTCCTCTTCACCTCCTCATCACATCATCGTCCCCTCTCATCGTCTTCATCCTCCCCCGCCTCCTCCTGCCCGTCCACTCCTCCTCCCCCCCTGTCCTCGTCATCATCCCCCTTGTCCTCTTCCTCCTTATCCTCCTCCCTCCCCCCATCCTCCTCCTCCTATTTCTCTTCCGACCCCTCACGTTCCTGCTCCTCCTCTTCTTCCCCCCTCCTCTCCTTGTCCTCCTCGTCCTCTTCCTCCTCCTTCTCCTCCTCCTCCCTCCTCCTCACCTCGTCCTCCTCCCTCCTCCTCCTCCCTCCTCGTCCTCCTCCTCCACCCTGTCCTCGTCCTTCTCGTTCTCGCCCTCGTCCTCGTCGTCGTCGCCCTCCTCCTCCTCCTCCTTCTCCTCCCCCCCCTCCTCCCTCCCCCTCCTCACCCCCCAGCCGCCCGCGAGCCCTGGTGGCGCCTGCCGCAGCCGCATGCCTTAGCGCCTCGCCCTCGTTCTCCCAGAGCTTCTCGAGTTTCGCGATGTCCTCCATGGCGCGCGAGTTGCCAGGTGGGAGGGCCTGGGGGCGGCTCGCGCGCACGAGGCGCACCGCTTGCTCAACCCTCATTGGCCCCATGGCGCAGAGACACACAGCAGCCACGCACGCCGACCGGTGCTCCCCCTGGCGGCAGAAGATGAGCACCTTAGCCCCACGCGGCGCCGCAGCCAGGGTTCTTATCGCACCCCTCAGCTGCTGCGCGACCCCGTGGTAATTCCACGATGCTGTCAAGTGGACTGGGTCCCTTAGCCCTGCCGCCCACTGCCGCACCCCGCCTCCAGGCCCAGCGCCGAGGCAGTCCACCAGGATGTCCCAGTCCAAGCTATTAGCCCTATCCTGCACAGCTGCCACGCCGCCGAGCCACCAGTTCATGCCCCACCCTGTCAAGAGCTTCGATGGAATGAGATTATTCGGATAAGTCGACAGCCAGTGCACGCGCGGCGAGGCCGCGAGACGGCGGTCTTCCTCGACCACCGCTGCCCACTGGCGCCGCCGGTGCTCCGCGCTTAGCGCCTCCAAGACCCGGGTCTCCAGCTGGTCCTTGCGAGGTGGCCAGGCAGGGGGGATGATGTCTAGCCCAGGTTTGTAGCAGGCGGCCGGCCCATCCTGCCCCCACTACCACCCCAGGTTGTTGGTAGCAAGCGGCCTCTGGGGGAGGAGGGGCCCAGGGTTAAAGGGGAGCTACCTACCAGCCCCCCCTTGTCTTTCCCAACCAGCAAGTCCTGCTGCGATTGCGGATCGGACCACCCAGGCACCGGGGCGTCGCCGATCAGCATGTCGTACGCCACCTTCTAGCCCGCCCAACGAGCCGCCGCCCCCCCCTGCCTCGACCCTGCGCCGCCGCCAACCGCCATGGGAGGCGGGGGGGGGGCGGCGGCTGCTGCGGGGGAGGGGGGGGGGGGCGGCAGTGATTATTAGCCCCAGCAACAACGCCTTCTCGAGCGACGCCTGCGCGCCACCAGTCGCCGGCAGGCCCAGCAGCGCCTGCCCAGCGCTGCCCACCTGGGCCACAGGGAGGGCAGGGCGAAGAAGCAGCCCGCCGCCGCTGCTGCTGCTCGCTGCCGCCGCCAACCGCCGCCGCCGCCACCACCACCACCACTGCCGCCCTGCCCCAGTACTCTGCTACCGCCACTGCTGCCGCTCCCGCCACCAATGCCGCCGCTCCAACGCCACCGCGACTATTGCCGCCGCCCTCTGGCCGCAGGTGGTCTGTCTACTACTAGCGAATCCCACCAGCCCTTTAGGGCGTAGTAGGTGGCCTAAAGAGTTTCCTCTTCCAACCTCCTTCTTCCCCTTGGGAGGGTTTTTTTACCCCTCCCCCTCCTACCCCCCCCCTCTGGACCTGGTTTTTTACCTCTCCCCCTCCCCCCCCCCCCTGGACCTATACAAACTTATATATATATATACATATATACATACTCATACACATGTATAAGGCGGCAAGGGTTTGGCCGATTCTTTAGAGCGCCAAAGATTGCCCAAGATGGCGAAAGGACGAGGGCTGCCAGTGATGCCCGCCCCCAGATGGCCTTCTCCTCCGTCCCACCGCACCGCAGATCGCCAGATATGGCTTCCAACATGCTCCGAGGTGCCCTGCCTGAGAAATGTTGTCGCGTACTTTCAGGGCCCTCCTCTGAGAAGCAATGTTTTATTTTGCGTTCCCGCTATGAAAAAATATTGATATTATTTAGTCAAAGCCGCCCAGGAAGCGAAATCGATCGTCCCGGAGAGAGAAGTGCGCGTGTGTGTGTGTGTGTCTGTGTCTGTGTCTGTGTGTGTGTGTGAGAGCGTGTGTGCGTGCATGCGTGCGTGCGTGCGTGCGTCGTGTGCGTGTGTGTGTGTGTGTGTTTGTATGTGTGCGCATGCGTGTGCGCGTGCGTGCGTGCGTGCGGCGTGCGCGTGCGCGTGTGTGTGTCCTGGGTGGGGGGTGGTGTGTGTGTGTGTGTGTGTGTGTGTTTGTAGTTGTGTTTGTGTGTGTGCATGTGTGTGTGCGCGTGCGTGTGCGTGTGCGTGCGTGGGGGGGGGGGGGGGTCTTTAAGCCCCCCGCCACCACTGCCACCACCACCAC